CTCTGTGCTGACAGCTCAGAGTCTGAAGCCTGCTTCAGATTCTGTGTCTCCCTCTCACTCTGCCCCTCCCCTGCCTGCACTCTCTCTCTCTGTCTTCCCAAAATAAATAAACTTAAAAAAAAATTTTTTTTTCTATTAAATTTTTAAAAAAAGCAATCTCAATTTGTAAGATTTCCCTCAGGCACGTTGTCAAAATCACACGCAAGATGAAACTGCCCTACAACAGTCCTTGGTCCTAGGATGATTAAAGTACAGCCCTACTCCTTCTGAACGTTTTGCAATGGTATGGTCCATGAGTACGTGGAGTACCATCCAGGGCAGGATTGAGAGATCCCACAAGCCGGGGTGAAGGGAGAGTTGCGGGGACCACCTGACCAATGGCTGTGGTCTTAATGAAGACTGACAAGCCCAAGTGAGGTTAGCAAATAACCCAAGATCAGAGCCTACAACAAGCAGCATCGCCCGCAGATTGACAGTGACCTCCATTGTCCTTGAAGAGCTCTTTAGAAATACAGTTGCAAAGTGTTTTTTCCCCAGGGGCCTTGGGAAGGCTGGTTGAACCGGAGTGTCTCTGGCTGACAAAGACCCGTCCAAATGTTTCTGGGTGATGGTTTTCCACACTGGTTTTATTTAAGGTCTGCCAACAGGTGCCGAGCATAAGATGGGAGGCAGTGTTTTTCTGTGGGGTTTTATTTTCTTCCTTTTAACTAGCCTCACAATATGCTTCTGGTTTCAAAGCAGATTTTTTTTTTCCTCTGCCACTTTCCCCCGCTTGTTTGCAAGATGACATTCTGTATCTTTTCAGAAGTGAAATAGTAGTGCTTTGATTGAATCCCATGAAAACAGAGGTGTGAAATTGTGGATGTGGGCCTTGTTTAGGTCTTACTTAGAAGGCTCTTGGTGCACGTGCATGCTGGGATGACATGTGCTTCTCTTCTGAGCTGTGGCCCTGGGAGCAGGAGTGGAGGCCCAGGGTCGGCAGTGGGGAGCAAGAGTTGGGGGAGGGGGGGAGCAGGAGTGGGGGCCGTGGGTGGGGGGAGCAGGTGGCAACCAGGAAGGACATGCATTTCTCCTGTGAGTCTCAAGATGAAACAGAAGCAGTGGAGACAATGGTGGAGTTCTTGAGAATGAAGAAAGAGAACACATCCTTTGCAATTAAAATTCATTTTCCCTGCATTCTCATGTTAGCTACAGTGGCCAGGAAATGGGCTACTCCTGATGGTTCTTGTTCCTAGCAGTGTACGATAATGGTTAAATAGCACCTTGCAGGTTCCCAAGCATTTGGTTCTCCGTCACTGATAGTAGCTCTAAAAATGCCCATTTTACAGATGAGAAAACACAGGCCCAGAGAAGGATGGGGAAGAGCTCTCAAGGCTTGTGGCATCAGATGTCCTTAGACTCTCACTTAATTCTCACTATACAAAGAAAGTCATGAGGAGGCAGATTCCTATCTCAGGCCTGTTTGGGAAATTCTGCCCAGCTGGCAGCCAAAATGCAGATGAAATGAGTGGTCCAAGGTCACACGACCTCCGCTTCCCCTCCCCCACTGTCCCTGATCCCTGAGCCCATCCCATACCGCTCCCCAGGTACCTTCCACGGGGGAGGACACAGAGCATGTGGTCGGTGCTGGTTGTCAGCCATGTATTTATTGAGCACCTACTATGTGTGAAACTAACCTAGATGCCAGAGATGGGAGGGGTTTGAAAGTGAACCAGAGAATGAAGGAAGGGATAGACATGTGAGAGATAAGTGAGAAAATGGTATCCTTGAAAACTCACAGCTGTGATAGAAGTGCAGTAAATTCTAAATGCCACATTACGAGACACTCTACTCCCTTGTAGAAAACTGACTTCTGTTGCCCCTCACACTGAATTTTCTTTTTTTTTTAATTTTTTTTTTTAACATTTATTTGTTATTGAGAGACAGAAAGTGAGGGGGGAGAGGGGGAGAGAGAGGGAGACACAGAATCCGAAGCAGGCTCCAGGCTCTGAGCTGTCAGCACAGAGCCCGACACAGGGCTCGAACTCACAGACTGAGAGATCATGACCTGAGCCGAAGTCGGTCGCTTAACCCACTGAGCCACTCAGGTGCCCCCACACTGAATTTTCATAGCAGGCGTCACACTGATGCAGTAGACTCAGGGAGGGTATTCAGAAAGGTCTCTGGAGTAGAAGAAAAAATGATAGACCTTTTATCTAACCCTTTAAAAATGTTTATTTTTTTATTTTGTGACTTACCTGACATGTGCAAATACCTACACATAACACGCACGCACACATATTTGTGTGTTAAACAACAAATGGATAAGAGTACATACTCAAAAACTTTCTACTTACCAGGCGTCATACAGCTTACAAAGTTTGCAGCCCAGTTCTCAGGCTCACCTGCTCACCTTTTGCAGTCGACTTGCATGATACCAAGAGTCAGTATTATTTATACCCAGCCTGTTTATGTCAGTAATACTTGCGATCATTTCCTATAATCAATAGAATTTTGTATAAGCTTGTGAAATTTTTTTATAAGCATAATCTGTGTGAGGGGCGTGTGGGTGGCTCAGTCGGTTAAGTGTCCAACTTTGGCTCAGGTCTTGATCTCATGGTTCGTGACTTCGAGCCTCGCATCAAGCTCTCTGCTGTCAGCACAGAGCCAGCTTTGGATCCTCTGTCCCCACCCCCCACCCCCCGCCCCTCCTCCATGTGCACACGCTCTCTCTTTCTCTTTCAAAAATAAACACTAAAAAAAAAAAAAAAGAATAATCTCTATGAAAGCTAAGTTGGGCTGTCTTGTTTGTGGTCCAGATTAGATAGATACTTTTTTTAATTGCTGTCAAATTTAGGGTAGGCGAGACATCTGTGAGCAGTTGAGAGAAATAATCATAAAAGCCTAAAAGGATCATAAATCCTAAAAGAATTCTGCTTTAGCTTGATATGCAAAAATCTAAGTTCTTGCTCTGCCTCAAAGAGTCTAAAACCGGGTATCAAAGATGTTGAATGGGGAGCATGATTCACACCCTAACAAACACATGGAACTTCTCTGGGTGCAGCTGGACTCAAACACAAGTCTTTGGAGAGTGAATGTGGGATCGGTTACTGCTCTTTATTGTCCCTGAAGATTGCAGCAAACACAGAATTAGCGAATGTTAAATATTGTTCCTAGAGGAAACACAGGGTACCATTTCCTACAAGCCTCTGTCTACATTTTCATCAGCTAATCAGTACAGAAACTTTTGTTTCTGTTTAAGGAAATCTGAATGAATACCACTGACTCGGGGCGCCTGGGTGGCTCAGTCCATTAAGCATCCGACTTCAGCTCAGGTCACGATCTCACAGCTTGTGAGTTCAAGCCCCGCATCGGGCTCTGCACTGATAGGATAGCTCAGAGCCTGGAGCCTGCTTCAGATTCTGCATCTCCCTCTCTCTTTCCCTCCCCTGCTCACTCTCTCTCTCTCTCTCTCTCTCTCTCTCTCTCTCTCTCTCTCAAAAATAAACATTTAAGGGGCGCCTGGGTGGCGCAGTCGGTTAAGCGTCCGACTTCAGCCAGGTCACGATCTCGCGGTCCGTGAGTTCGAGCCCCGCGTCAGGCTTTGGGCTGATGGCTCAGAGCCTGGAGCCTGTTTCCGATTCTGTGTCTCCCTCTCTCTCTGCCCCTCGCCTGTTCATGCTCTGTCTCTCTCTGTCCCAAAAATAAATAAACGTTGAAAAAAAAAATTAAAAATAAATAAATAAATAAATAAATAAACATTTAAAAAAAAATACCACTGACTCATTAACAGTGAACTCACAGCCAATAGCACTGTAATTCACGCCTGAACAAAGTTTGCCTGACACATTCATTTTTGCCACAAGGCACATCACTGCTTCTTGCACTTGTGTAGTATAGGTGGCATGTTAACTCTGTGCTGGGAGCCATTTTAAGCCATGAAATCACCAGCAAAAAGCACAGAAATGCTAGAAATATGGCTCTACATATACTGCAGAAGGACGCTCATGTACAATGGGAGCTGAAGCAAGATGGCAGGGTAGCATTGCGTTCAGCCATAGCCAGGAATGCGCGGAGGGCAACTCTAGTTTTTCTCCTCTCTGTGCATGTCCTCAGATGCGCTGCGAGTATTCATTTGGGGTTTTCAGATACATTTTAACAAGTAAGCAAATCCACAAATACGGAACCCACCAATAACGAGGGCCAACTGTCTATGTTTTAGATTAGATAAAATAGTTAATGTATGCATGACTTTTTCTTTTTTTATGAGTGCCCCACCCAGCCTTTACTGGACTTTGATCAATGAGCCCCTCTCTGCAAGGTGCAGGGAAAGCTGAGCGAGGAACCAGGGCCAACTTTCAGGTGTGGCTGAATGATCAATCACACACTCATTGCTTCCTACTAGTGCTGTTTGTCTCGCGGGGTTGTTGGACTGAATGAGTTTAGGTGTTTGTAGTCAGTGCTACAATTAATTTGGCAAGAGGGAGTGCAGACTTCAGGTGCAGAGTGCCTAGTGGGTGACAGCCCTTGGTGCCTACCCTAGACTTTCTCACCTCCTCTTGTTCTCACCTTCCAGGGAGGGCACAGACCAGCTTCTGTTTCCTGCAGCTTCCCAATCCACACCTGCTTACAGCCAAGACAGGACAGAGGGGAAGAGGGAGGGAGAGAGACAGTCAGCACCATCTCTGGTTCATAAGAGGCCAAGCCAGATGAGGCCATGGGCTCGACTGCCCAGCCCACCGAGTGTGGCTCACTCTGCCTGTGCATAAATCTCACACCATGGAGCCTTCCTGAGCCCTGGGCTCGGCGCCTCCACCTTTTTTTCCAGAAGCTCTGATTGTCCCGTAGGTTTGTTGGGGAAATGGGTTCCTTCCCTTCACCTGTGCTACAGTGAGACTCAGCATAAAGACCTCTCTTCTGGGGTTTATAAATTAAAATCCCCACACGCATCTACCACAATGCTGTGGACATTTCTGAAGCTCAGAAAAAGAGGCCACAAGTCAGCCCGCTCTCATTAGCCATTTGTAATTAGATGTTTCTCTCTTTTAAGTGTATCAGGAACATTTCAAACATATGCACAAGTAGAGAGCACAGTGTCATGACCCTCTCACGCACCCTCCCCCCATTTTCAGGAATTACCAACTCACGGCCCATCAGCCCATCGTGTTTCGCCTCTTCCCCCATCCCAGATCATTTCAAAACAAATCCCAGGCATCACATTTCACATAACAGTATTTCATTACATTACCTCTAAAGGAAAGGGATGTTTAAAAAAAAAGACGTAACCAAAATATTGTCACAACTTCAAAAAGTAACAGGGATTTCTTACTATCATATGTATCTGATCAGCGCTAAATTTCCTGAATTCAGGCATTTCTCTCGTCCCTTCAGGTCAGTACAGAGTGTTCAGCTGACTGCTGGCATGGGGATGGGTTGGGGACTACGAGGAGTGTGCAATTGAACTTGGGTCTGGGGGGACTGAAGTCCCCATGATAGAAGAGAAAAACGTTTCCATAGAAGAGAAAAACGTTTCCAGAGCAACAGGAAAGGACAGAGTTGCCATGGGGCATCGAGGTCACGGCCCCTCCACACATGCAGCTTGGAACTTGAGCGTGTTCTGGACAGAAGGAGAGCCTCGCCTGAGGAGCCACAGACACACTGCTTCCCTGCTTAACTTTCTCACAGCCTAGGACTTAGCACTCTGAGTGTTTTGGGCAGGGTTCCCTGTGGTTGGGGGGCCATCCCCCCGGAACGTGGGCTGCGTGCAAGGGATGGCCAGGGAGGGAGACGTAGCCGTACTGTGGGGGCCCTAGAGCGTCTCACGGTTGGTGACCTCAGCACCGTTCCCCCAGAAGGAGCTTTGTGTTTTGAGTGGCTCATGGGAACCCAGCATTCTAAATTTAATTGAATGATGACAGGAGTCTTGATGGTGAGACGCGGCCGAGGTAGCAGCGGAGATAGGAGAGGTGGACGCACAGCAGGACCTCGCTTGCTGGGGCCTGCCACCGCGCGATAAGGATAGCAGAGTCGCACATACTTGGCACTTCTTTCAGCGTGAGAGGACGGTGAACTCTGCTGCCTCGCGGGTCATTTCGTTATCTATTTCCAGAGAAGAATCTCAAAGCAAAAAAAAAAGTTTTCCATTAAGGTGCATGTAGTCCAGATGCAGACTCCAGCAGGTCGCCCTACCCCTCTGAGACCCAGGTTCTTTCTCTGTAAAGCACTCGTGGGACCTGCCTTAGGGGTTTCGTAAGTGGCAAAGGCATGTGTATGTGCAAATACTTGGAAAGGTGCTAGGCACACAGCACTGTCCAACAGAACTTTCTGCGGTCATGGAAACATAGCAGCAGGTCAGGTCTGCACTGCACTGCCTGATGTCACTGAGGAAATTTTAATTCACTTAAACAGCCCCACATGGCTTGCATGGCTACCGTATTGAGGGCCAGTCTAGGGGATGTTGAGAACACCCCGATGATAGGATAGTTGTTAGGGTGGTTCTGAGTGAAGACCCAGAAGGTGACGCTGGTATGAAGAGTGGAGGAAGCATTATAAAATGTGTGTGTTTCACGTCTGTGTGGCCCAGGACATTGAAGGTGGAGGTCACCTCTGAAGTTGGGGGTGCTGATCTTTAGATGGACTGCATCTGTGGGGGTCTTTCAAGGAAAAGGAGACATCATAACAGGTGTGGGCGGGAGGGTGAAGGAGGCTCATATTTTGTCTTTGCTTCATACTGGCTGTGTGACCTTGGCCATGTCACTTAATGTTTTGAGCCTCCGTGTTTTTATCTGTAAGATGGAAGTCCGGATATCCACCTGCCTGCCACAGTCGTGGTGCCTGCTTACTGTGGGAGCTACAGTTATTTTTCAGATAACGATGGTAATATCAGAATTGAACACAGTCACTGGCTTGGACTACTAATTCAGTTGGAGAATTTGATTATCATTTCGTCCCGATCAGAGACCAGGGATGCCATCGTGATTGCTCTCGGTTCAGTGTAAACTTATGCTATTTGGCTTGTAAACATTTATGATCACTAAAATCCACTGAGCCGAGGGAGGGAGAAAACCTTGGAAATGATCGCTTTATGCCACATAATTGAGGTAAGCAGAAGTAAGCACAGTGGCTTCAGGTTCCCAGCTGTCTTAATGGACACACCTGTTCTGTCTACAAAGCTTGGATATCCAGAAGTTGATAAAATACTTTTTTAAAGGAAGCGTTTTTCTTGGTGTTAACCGTGAGCAGACTGGCTTCTCGAGATTATACCATTTTTATTTCAATTGAAATGAAGCAACAACAAATATAATAGGCTCCTGGATAAGTGGCAACTCTGATTGGGCCGCCTCCTCATATCCTATCCCTTTTTTCTCCCAGATGTGACATTTGCTGTGTCACCTTTCGAACACATCGAGGATTGCTACGCCACAACGCGCTTGTCCACAAACAGCTTCCCAGGGACGCCATGGGAAGGCCTTTCATACAGAACAACCCTTCCATTCCTGCTGGCTTCCATGACTTAGGATTCACTGACTTCTCCTGTAGGAAGTTTCCTCGAATTTCTCAGGTATTTTGGTCAGCCTGCGGAACCAGCAGCCACCTCCCTGGGCCGCGTGGTTGGACTATACCTCCTTACCCTGAGGTCTCCCTTCCGTAAAATGTTGTCCCTTGGGTTTTGTCCTTTTTGTAACAACGTTTTCTCTTGCAATTCAGCTTGACCCTTTCAGTCTCCATTGGGTTGTTGAGAAAGGATAGTTGGGTTTTAATCTTGTGTTGAATTTCTTACCACCTTGTGTAAGAGTCTAGCTCACCGATGCCTTTTGCCCATTCTTGGGCGTTTGGATTTAAAGTTGTGAAGTGCTCACCACCCCCACTCCCACCTCTATCTGAACTGAATTTGTTTTCTTAAATATTTCTTTAATATCCACATTACAGGTAAATATTTCCAGTGTGGTACTTTCTATTAAAAATGTTTTGGGTCATTATTAACCTGAACCATATTTGTTCCCTGCCTACTGAAAACTACTTTGAAACTTTTTTTTTTTTCAATTTTAAAAATTGAGATCGAGGATGTCAACAGTGAAACTCTTAAGGCACAGAAGCCTCGAGGGTAATGGGTTATTCCATATGTATACACCCACGTGTATACGCCCACGCATATACACCCACATAACCCTCCCCGCAGATGGCACAGCCTCAGGCCCCTTCCCAGGCAGTGCCCCTCGTGTTATTATTACTTAACTGTATTTCATTGCTTCTCTGAGATACTCCAGGGATTGATGTCATTTGTCAAGCAATATGATGTTTAAGGTGCTTTGTGGTCTTCCTTATTCAGCGTAGGGACAGGAATTAGCAAGCAGGGGGAGGCCAACTCCTTAGATAGTACAGAGAGAGGCTGGGTACTGGGGCAGCTATATAACAGATACTTTCTGCATCTCGGGGTAGTGATTATTTTTAAATCCTCCTTATTCCCTTGCTTTTGCCAACCCGCCTTCCACGCAGGCCTGGTGTGAAACAAACCTACGAAGGTGCATCAGCGAACAGCACCGTTTTGTCTGCGACACATGTGACAAAGCATTCCCCATGCTCTCCTCGCTCACCCTGCACAAGCAGACCCACGTCGCCACGGACCAGGGACGGGACAGGCTGCAGGCCAAGACCCTGCCTGGTGACGCCCTGGACCAGAAGGTCTTCCTGGCCTTGCTGGGCCTGCAGCACACCAAAGACGTCAGGCCTGCCCCCGCTGAGGAGCCCCTGCCGGATGACAACCAAGCAATACAGCTCCAGACACTCAGGTGTCAGCTACCTCAGGACCCCGGCTGCACCAACATGCTGAGTCTGTCTCCTTTCGAAGCTGCTTCCCTGGGCGGCTCTCTCACGGTCCTCCCGGCTACCAAGGAGAGCATGAAGCACCTGTCCCTGCAGCCCTTCCAGAAGGGCTTCATCATCCAGCCCGACAGTAGTATTGTGGTCAAGCCCATCTCCGGCGAGTCCGCCATCGAGCTGGCTGACATCCAGCAGATTCTGAAGATGGCGGCCTCCGCCCCCCCTCAGATCAGTCTTCCGCCTCTCTCCAAGGCCCCTGCTGCCCCTCTGCAGGCCATTTTCAAACATATGCCCCCTCTGAAGCCAAAGCCCCTGGTCACCCCACGGACGGTGGTGGCCACCTCCACACCACCCCCTCTCCTCAATGCCCAGCAGGCCTCCCCGGGCTGCATCAGCCCCAGCCTCCCCCCACCGCCCCTGAAGCTCCTCAAAGCCCCCGTGGAGGCGGTCCCCAACGCCCACCTGCTGCAGTCCCAGGCCGGAGCCCAGCCAGACACGGCCACGCAGCTCTTCCTGCAGCAGCCGCGGATGGAGCTCCCCGGCCAGGCCGAGATGAAGACCCAGCTGGAGCAAGACAGCATCATCGAGGCCCTGCTGCCCCTGAGCATGGAGGCCAAGATCAAGCAGGAGATAACGGAGGGTGACCTCAAGGCCATCATGACGGGGCCCGGCAGCAAGAAGACGCCGGCCATGCGCAAGGTGCTCTACCCCTGCCGCTTCTGCAACCAGGTGTTCGCCTTCTCGGGGGTGCTGCGCGCCCACGTGCGCTCCCACCTGGGCATCTCACCATATCAGTGCAACATCTGCGACTACATCGCCGCCGACAAGGCCGCGCTCATCCGCCACCTGCGGACGCACAGCGGTGAACGGCCCTACATCTGCAAGATCTGCCACTACCCCTTCACCGTCAAGGCCAACTGCGAGCGGCACCTGCGCAAGAAGCACCTCAAGGCCACCCGCAAGGACATCGAGAAGAACATCGAGTACGTGACCAGCAGCGCCGCCGAGATGGTGGACGCCTTCTGCTCCCCAGACACGGTGTGCCGGCTGTGCGGCGAGGACCTGAAGCACTACCGCGCGCTGCGCGTTCACATGCGCACGCACTGCGGCCGCGGTCTGGGCGGCTGCCCCAAGGGCCGCAAGCCCTTCGAGTGCAAGGAGTGCAGCGCCGCCTTCTCCGCCAAGCGCAACTGCATCCACCACATCCTGAAGCAGCACCTGCACGTGCCCGAGCACGACATCGAGAGCTACGTCCTGGCGGCCGACGGCCTGAGCCCGGCCGAGGCACCCGTCGAGGCCTCGGGGAGGATCGAGGACAGTGGCGGGACCTTTGGCGAACGAAAACCGCTGGCCACCTTCCTGGAGCCCCAGAACGGCTTTCTCCACGGGGGCGCCTCCCAGCCTCTGCCTCCCCATGTCTCAGTCAAGTTGGAGCCCGCCAGCAACTTTGCAGTGGATTTCAACGAGCCCCTGGACTTTTCCCAGAAGGGCCTGGCCCTGGTCCAGGTGAAGCAGGAGAATGCCGCCTTTTTCCTGAGCCCCACCTCCTCAGCCCCCTACGACTGCTCCATGGAGCCCATCGACCTGTCCATCCCCAAGAACTTCAGGAAAGGAGACAAGGATACGGCTGCTCCTGCCGAAGTCAAAAAGCCTGAGCAGGAACCAGGGAGCGGTGAGCGGCCCTCTCCTGGTCCTCCACCGTGCCCTACCCTGCCAGTGACTTTGGGGCCCAGCGGGATCCTGGAAAAACCCGTGGCCCCTGCAGCTCCGGCCTCCGCAGCCACCACTCTGGAAGCGCATGCTCAGCCCCTGCAGGGCTCCGTTCAGCTTGCTGTCCCCATCTACTCCTCAGCTCTGGTCAGCAGCTCCCCCATCTTGGGCAATTCCACTCTCCTCAGCAGCCCGGCACTGTTGCGGCCGCTGCGCCCCAAGCCCCCTCTGCTCTTGCCAAAGCCCCCCGTGACGGAGGAGCTGCCCCCACTGGCTTCCATCGCCCAGATCATCTCATCTGTGTCCTCGGCCCCCACCTTGCTGAAAGCTAAGGTGACAGAGCCGGGACCCGCGAGCACTAGCAGCAATAGCGCGGCTCCTGACGGGTTAGGAAGTCCTGTCCCCAGAGCCGCCACCGCCCCCACCAACACCACCAGCCCAAAAGAATCCAGCGACCCGTTGCCTCCTGCCAACAGCCCAGAAGCAGCCTCCCCCACCGAGCAGGGGCCGGTGGGTTTGTCCAAGAAGAGGGGCCGGAAAAAGGGGGTGAGGAGCCGGCCCCGCTCCGGCAGCGGCGGGGTGGACCTGGACTCCAGTGGGGAGTTTGCCAGCATTGAAAAGATGCTGGCCACTACAGACACCAACAAGTTCAGTCCGTTTCTACAGAGCGCAGAGGACGACGCTCAGGATGAGGTGGCCGGAGCCCCCGCCGACCACAATGGGCCCAGTGACGAGGAGCAGGGCAGCCCCCCCGAAGACAAGCTGCTGAGGGTGAAGCGGAATTCCTACGCCAACTGCCTGCAGAAGATCAACTGTCCCCACTGCCCCCGGGTCTTCCCCTGGGCCAGCTCCCTCCAGAGGCACATGCTCACACACACTGGTAAGAGGGCCCACCAGGCCCCGAGTGCTACTTCCCAGAAGGGAGGTTATGGCCTGGCCGGCCCCAGGGATGGGGAGAACAGGAGGCGGGGTCAAAAGCGTGGGACCCTTTTCCCATGGCCCCATTTCTAGCTTCTCTTCAGCCTCAGTCTCTGAAGCAGGGGGCTTGCCTGGTGATGCCAACGGGTTTTCCCCCTGTGCCCTTGTAACCACAATAACCTATTCCTAGTGTCTCGGCCTTTGAGGAGCTGCTGGTGAAGGCAGTGTTGAATATCGGTGTTTGGGGGGTGAAAATGGTCCTGGGCCCATTGGATCATTCACTTGCATCTGCCTCGGCCCTTCAGGAGGATGTAGCAAGATCACTTGGTTCCCCACAGGAGGCAGCTAGGGAGAAGTGGAACTCGGTATTGAGGTATTGGTGCTTTGGCAGGAGAAAGTCCGTCCCAGATTCCTCAACGTTTTAAGACTTTGAACATTCTGTGAAGTTGTTTTGACTCCATATATTCTTAAGAATATTGCAGACTTCATATTGCCAAAAAGATATATCCCAAAGTGTTTTTCAAATGTTAGTTTCTATATGTTGACTTTTAAAAAGCTTATTTAAGAGGATACATTTTTTTTAAGTTTATTTATTTTGGGAGAGATAGAGACACTGTGAGTGGGGGAGGAGCAGAGATAGTCCCAAGCAGGCTCTGTGCTGCCAGCACAGAGCCGGACTTGGGTCTTGAACTCACGAAACCACAAGATCATGTCGTGAGCCAAAACAAGAGTCAGCGGCTTAACTGACTTAACAGACGCCACCCAAGGGCCCCTGAAAGGATACATTTTAAGTAATTTTATACCAGGTACTTGTAATAGTCACATGACTATTCGCTCTTGTCTTAATCCTGATTTACTGAATATTTATACATGGTTTATGTCATCGAAGTAGAGGTAAATTGGGTGAGATCCTTAACTTTTTGGAGATTACCACCCAAATACTAATGGTGGGACCTAAAACCAAATAAAGAATTGCATAATACAGGATTGCCAGATAAAATACTGGGTGCTAGGTAAACATAAATTTCAGATAAAAAGCAGATAACTTTTAGCATAGCTTAAATATGCAACATTGGGGATAGACTAAAAACTGATTTGTCATTTATTGGAAATTCAATTTAACTGTTTTTGGTTGCTAGATCTGACAACCCCAGTCAGTTACAAGGCTTACGGTGGTGAGGGGAAGGTAGTGGGGAACTATGTGTGAGCCACGCTCTGTACTCAGGTGGGAAAGGCTTCATTCCAAAAGGTTGATTGTCACAGAAGCCTCAGAGACGCCCATGGCTGGCATGGCTAGTCATGAGGGAGGGGAGAGCAAGTCTCTCTGAGGCTGGTTGCCACATAGATGCATCCTTTCTCTCGGGTGAGGGACGGGGGCTCAAACCCGGGACTCCGGGGACAGCAAACCAGGAGTACCTGCCCACGGAGGACTCAAATATGTAACAGGAACCAGAACTTCTAGATTTCTCAAGTGTGTGCTGCCTTCTCAGGCTGCCATTTTCTTTTCCTTTGAGATCATTGAAGCCTGACAGAGTAACAGTTCTAAGACCGAAAAGAAGATGCATCTTGAACAGGAGGTGCCCCACGCAGAGGTCTCTTGCTACTCTTTTTGGGTGACACTTGTTTGTCACCTGCAGAGCCTTTGGAGAAGTGCGTGTTTTTGCTACCACTTTCCAGAAAGCAGGTGGCTGGATCTCACGATGCATGTCCATGCCACCTCCTCTACACTCCCCTGATGCCGTCCCCTCCGCCCTTCCCAGTGAACCACCAGTCTTCCTAATAGAACTGGAGCAGCTGGCATTTCCTTTCAAGAATTGTGCCCACATCTCACAGATGCCTCATCTGAGTTCCCACTTGTGAAAGCAGTCATTTCAATTGTCTGGCTTTCGAATGCCAAAATGTCCTAGTTGGTGTAAAGTCTGGTAGCATCTGGAAGCAGCAAGGATGATGGGAGGCTTGTTTATGATGGAGTAGGGTGGGGTAGACATAAATATAAACATGTTCTGCCACTTCTCCAGTTACTAGACCCTTGGCAGCTGTGTCTGTTGGAGCCCCATCCATGACCTCCTGTCGTACCACGTGACCATCCCATGTCCTTCTAGTGAGGGTTGCTGGCCTTAACTTGAGGGGAGCACTCGGGGTTGGTCGAGAAACATTCCAGAGCTAGTCCTCCTGACCATCCCATGAGGGCGATGTTGTCCACATCTTGAAGCGAGGAAATGAAGGCTTAGAGAGGCTGAGTAACTTGCCTGTGGTCTTAGAGCTCGAGTTCAAAGCCAGGGTCAAGTTCCCTGCAGCTGCCCCACAATCGAGGTATGTGGCTGCTGGTTCTCTGTTGGCAGGTGTATAGGGCATGCCTGCTTCTGCCTTCATGACATATCCTGACATGTACCAGGGCAGAAGGCTGGCAAGGGGCTGGAGATAAGGTGAACAGAGATATGGACCAGGATCCTAGTAATCAGACTGAATGACCTCAGGATAGTACTAGCCACACACACAGACACTGTATAAAGCTGACGCCCACTGGGCTCTGTTAATTTCCTTTGCTGTTTTACTTGCTTCAGCTTCCATTGACAGTCTCAGCATCACCTCTGTTAAATAATTTTATAGAGCACTTGGCTGTTGTGTCTGGTGTTGTGTTAGAACGTTTTCCATTCATCGAGTGTCACAGCTGGACAGAGCCTGGGAAATCATCTGACCCACCCACTCTTCCCACAGACTGGTGTTTTCCTGGTAGACGCTCAGCTATTGAAGAATCCCCCAGCTGCCTGTGCCTTGGCTCCCTAGCTTTCTGTGACATGCTCCCTCCGGAAACTTGGGAATAAAACTGAGGCACATATGTATGAGCACAGAAACTAAACTCGGTTCTGAAATGGCCCTGTAAACAAAAGTGTTATACAGCAAAGAAGCCTTTTTTTTAAGTGTTGAAATCTAGCTTTGAGCAGTGTCTGGGTTTACATCGCCTTTAAGCAAAACCACGTATGTGTCTCAAGAGTCCACCTCCTCGTGACCTCTTGGCAAACACACAGAACGATCATAACGCCAGTAAGTTGTCTCCTAGATGGGCAGCATTAGGTAGACCAGATGTTTTGTGTCCAGTGGGGCTCGCTGTGGCTCAGGCAAGGGGCACAGGGCTCGGGTTCTAGGGATTGTGTCTCAGAAGGAAGCTGGCATCTGCCATCCTGTTTTATCTGCCCTGGTGAGCTCTCCATGCACAGCCAAGTTCCTTCCTTGCACTGTTTTCCTAGCCTGTGTGCTGGTGAGCAGGGATGGTTCCTGGTTCCTTGCCTTATCTGCCTGAAGAGTGTTGCCTCTTGGGGAGAGGACAGTCCACTGTCCCTTCCTTTTCCCCTTCATTTAGGCCACAGGCCGAGAGAGTACCAGAAAATGCAGCTGGCCCGTTTCTGCTCATCCCCGTCTTCCTGCCCTTTCAGTCCCTTTTCTCCCAAAATGAAGGAGTCAGGACCCTGGGATGACTGAAACTCCCTCCTCCCCCCACCAAGCTCTGACATTTTGGGATTCTTGCAGTTGATTCTAGCGCCTCTTCTTTGCCGACCTGAGGCCCTCCACCCTCACCTGTGCTACCAGCTGCTCACGGGCAACTGAGTTTGAAACCAGTAGGATGGGCAAAGCTCAGCGTGGAAAGTGCCTTGGACACCAGTGACGCTGGCTACTTTTCACTTTCTGAAAGTGGCGGCCTTGACCATTTTTGCCCAGCCAGCCTTCTGTCAAATACAGAAAGAAGCTTTCCCCACGAGGGTGGAGGGCAATGGAAAGAAGTCTGAGGGTATGAAGCTGAGTTCTCAAACTTACTCTCACTCTTCATTCTTCTGCTCCTGATGGCCCCAGCAGGCCAGATAGCATCACGTAGTACACGGTTTCCCCCTTTTCCTGACTGCTCTCTGAGAGTAGAGCATGACGCTGGCTAGCTGATGGTTTTTATGGCTCTGCTGGAGGTGGAGGGAGGTGGTGAGTCTTTGGTGCAAAGATAACTTCTTGTGGTCACAGGTACATTTAGAAACACCTCTGCTAAAGCAGTAATTTGTGGCAGCTAACCAAGTAAGTGACATCATTTGATACTTTTCCGTGTAAATTGCCCATCAACAAGTTTTGGGGAAACCTATCTGATGAAAAAATATTGGAAGTGTTCATGTTTTTCTCTGTCCATGCAATCAGAGAGAGCACACTACTATTTAAAAATGTAAGGCTTGCGTGTGTCAGTTATACAGCAGTAAAAATAAACGAGAGAGTGAATGAGCAAATGAATGTAAGGCTTATGCAGAGAGAGATAAATCTTTAAAGATTCCTGTTGTCACTTTGAGACTCTTCATAACCCAATACAGTACTCCGAAATCTTTGGGCCGTTGTCTGAATTTAGTGTATTAATCTTCATCATGGGGCATGAACCTGGCTGTCCAAACCCAGCTGTAAAAGTGAAGCATTTACCAGTGTGGAAAATGCCAGAGGAAATCTTGTCATGGGAAGAAGCAAGCAGCCGATTGTTTTATTTCGAATTGAGAATTACCTAGTTCATCCTCATAGCTTCTGACTTGTTTTGCTCTCCGCTAATTCTCTCTCTCACTGCCTGGCCTCAGAGAAGCCATGATGTCGCCTTCGATAATAAAACATTTCAAGTATTTTTCTTACTTAAAACAGTGACAGTTGTTAAAGTTGTTACTTAAAACTTTAACAGTTGTTAAAGATTCTATTCAGTTTTTAGTGAAAAGCAAGAATAACGTGAAGCTTGCACCATAAAAAAAAAAAAAACACATGTAAAGGCGAGTTGTTTTTGTTTTTCATTTTTGTCATTTTTACGACTTAGCAGAAACACCCACTGGGCTATGTGGAGGGAAGCTTTCAAGGGGTCAGTGGGTTCTCCACTTTTTTATCCTATAGGTCCCATGTGAGTTCCTTAAAAGCAC